TTGGGGCAATTGTAAATGGGATTGTTTTCTTCATTTCTCTTTCTGCTACTTCATTATTAATGTATAGAAAAGCAACAAAATTCTATCTATTAATTTTATATTCTGTTACTTTACTGAATTAATTTATTAGTTCTAATAGTTTTTTGGTGGTCTTTAGGATTTTCTATGTATAATATCATGTTATCTGCAAATAGTGACTGTTTTACTTACTTTTTACCAGTAGGGATTTTTTTTTAAGTTAGTTTATTTATTTATTTATTTATTTTTATTTATTTTTATTTTTTTTTTTTTGAGAGAGAGAAAGTGCACAGTGGAGGAGGGGAAGAAAGAAAATCCCAACTGGCTCTGCACTGTCAGCACAGAGCCTAATGCAGGGCTCAAACTTATGAACTGCACAATCACGATCTGAGCCAAAACCAGGAGTTGCATGCTTACCCAACTGAGCCATCCAAGTGCCCTAGTATGAATTCTTTTTATTTCTTTTTCTTGTTTGAATGCTACAAGTAGGACTTCTAGTATTGAGTTGAATAAAAGTGTTGAGAGTGGACATCCATGTCTTGTTTTTGTTCTTAAAGGAAAAGAATTCAATTTTTTGCCATTGAGGATGATGCTAGCTGTGAGGTTTTTTATATATGACCTTTATTATACTGAGGTATGTTCCCTCTAGACCCAAATTATTGAGAGTTTTTATCATGAATGGATGTTATATTTGGCAAGTACTTTTTTTAATGTGACATATCACATCAATTGATTTGTGAATATTAAACCACCTTTGCATCCCTGGAATAACTCTAGTTTGATTATGGTGAATGATTTTTTTTTTAAATTTTTTAATGTTTTTTATTTATTTCTAGGAGAGAGAGAGAGAGAGACAGCGTGAGCAGGAGAGGGTCAGAGAGAGAAGGAGTCACAGACTCCGAAACAGGCTCCAGGCTCTGAGCTGGCAGTCAGCACAGAGCCCGACGCGGGGCTCGAACCCACGAACCATGAGATCATGACCTAAGCGAAAGTCAGAAGCTTAGCCGACTAAGCCACCCAGGCGCCCCATGGTGAATGATTTTTTTTTAATGTATTGTTGAATTTGGTTTGCAAGTATTTTGTTGAGAATTTTTGTATCTTTGTTCATTAGAGATATCAGCTTTTCATAGTGTCTTTGTCTGGTTTTGGTATCAGGGTAATGCTGGTTTTGTAGAATGAGTTTGGAAGTTTTCCTTCCTCTTCTATTTTTGGAATAGTTTGAGTAGAGTAGGTATTAGCTCTAAATGTTTGGTAGAATTCACCTGTGAAACCATCTGGTACTGGATTTTTTACTATTGATAGTTTTTTAATTGCCAGTTCAATTTCGTTTCTTATAATCATTTCAAAATCATTTCTTATAATCTGTTCAAATTTTCTATTTCTTCCTGTTTCAGTATTGGAAGATCTGTTTTTAGGAATTTATTAATTTCCTTTAGATTGTCTAATTTGTTGGCATTTAATTTTCTATAGTATTCTCTTACAGTTCTGTGTATTTCTGTGGTGTCAGTTGTTATTTCTCCTTCATTTCTGATTTTATTTATTTGAGTTTTCTCTCTTTTTTCTTGATGAATAGTGCTAAAGGTTTATAAATTTTGCTTATCTTTTCAAAGAACCAGCTTCTGGTTTCACTGATCTTTTCTATTTTTTTAGTGTCTATTTCATTTATTTCTGTTGTAATATTTATTATTCCCTCTTTGTACTAGCTTTGGGCTTTATTCTTTTTTTTTTCTAGCTCTTTTAAGTATAAGATTAGGTTCTTTATGTGAGCTTTTTTTTTGTTTCTTGAGACAACCTTGTATTCCATCTTGCTTTTTATTATTTAACAATATATTGTGGAAATGGCTCCAAATTAGCACATAGAGAGTTTCCTCACTCTTTTTTATGTCTGCATTTTATTATATGGAGATTTTACAATTTATTCAACTCATACCCTAATGTGTTTATTTGTTATGTTCTGGTCTTTGTTATTATAAATAATGCTTCAGTGAATAACTTTGTGCATATGTTGTTTTTTTACTGGTGAGATATATATTCAGGATGGATCCTTGAAATAGAAACTCTGGGTCAAAGGGTAAATACATTTAAAATTTTGTTAGATCAAGCCAAACTCTATCAATAGGGGGGTGTACCGTTTTGCACTTCCATCAATAATATATTAATGAGCTGCTTTCTTCATAGGCAATGTGAGTTCTTTTGAAGGTTTCATATCCCTTTGTTCTTTCTGAGTTGCTTTTCTAACTAACTCTTTCTAAGTTCGTTTTTCAGTTCAGTCTTTTATGTTAGTGTCTTTTCTCAGATAATCTTCTTATCTTTGGCTACCTGTTTACTAAGAATAAGAGACATTAAAGATATACTAAGAATAAGAGACATTGTAATTGCTGGTTGGCTGGAAGTTGTTTATTGAAGTCTTTGTTAAATGGTTATTTGACAACTGTTCCTTTGGGGACCAGGGCAGAATTCAGGTCTTTTCTTTGGGCTAGTCATATTCCCAAGGAAGACAATTTTAATTTCCTTCTTAAAGGGTAAACCTGGCTACCAGCATTTTGGAAACCCAGTGAGGCTGGGAGATCTTTATATTCACTTTGGGTGATAGTGTTTTGGTGAGAAGAGAGGGGATAATAATATTTTAGAAGAGCATCTGTACCATCTTATACTTAAATTATTTTGTATAGAAGATTGAAACCAGATGGCAGCATGGTTTCTCTCTATCTCCAGTCTTTTAGCAGTATTAGGAATATAGCTGTGCATCTCCTCGACAATATTATATTGTTTGCTAATGGATGAATTTAAATAATTACATTTATGGGGCACTTGGGTGGCTTAGTAGGTTAAGCATCTCACTTTGGCTCAGGTCATAATCTTGCAGTTTGTGAGTTTGAGCCCAACATCAAGCTCTGTGCTGACAGCTCAGAGCCTGGAGTCTGCTTCGGATTCTGTGACTCTCACTCTCTCTCTCTCTCTCTCTCTCTCTCTCCTATCTTCTGTTCATGCTGTCTCTTTCTCTCTCTCAAAAATAAACATTTAAAAAATTAAAAAAATAAATAATTACATTTATTAGGATTAATGATCTATTTGAATATATTGCCATCATCTTCTTATATACTTTTTGTTTTGCTTATGTATATGTGTGTTCATTCCCTCAATTAATGCTTTCTATTTGAAAGAATAAAATATACTTTCCCCTTTTCAGTCTCCCTTAGTTTGGAAGCCATGGGCTTTATTTCTGTTTTTTGTTTGGTTGTTCTTGGTGTTTGTTTTTTATTTTTTTATTTTTTTAATTTTTAAATTAATTTTTAATGTTTTATTTCTTTCTGAGAGAGAGAGAGAGAGACAGCATGAGCAAGGGAGGGTCAGAGAGACAGGGAGACACAGACTCTGAAGCAGGCTCCAGACTCTGAGCTAGCTGTCAGCACAGAGCCCAACGTGGGGCTCAAATTCACGAAATGTAAGATCATGACCTGAGCCAAAGTTTGATGCTTAAACGACTGAGCCACCCAGGTGCCCTTGTTGTTTTTTATTTTTAATGGTTACTTTTAAATGTTTAAAATATATTCTGGACTGTAAATTTTTTTAAAAAAAATTAGTCAGCATCTCTCCTCTCCCTGAATTAGATAAATTTAATTTTACCCACAGAGCTCCCAAGGCAGTTTCTTGTTAAAATATTTTATCTAGAATTTGTTTCAGTATTTTAACACAAAACTTAGTAATGTTGTAACAGTTGTTAAATTAACCAACATTTTATCAGCTTCTGTGTTTACCATTCATTCTTACGACTATCTTTTTCTCTCAAATTTTTTTCAATTTTTTTTTTCTTGAAATGTGATTATCTTGATTCAAACTTTAATCTGCAAAAATAAATAGGCAAAAATAGCAAGTATAGAAAGAGTGGTAGAGCCACGTAATAACATAGTTTCAGTAGATGAGATGATAAATTAATAAAATGTGATTAGGCAGATATCAGTGGGATTAAATTGGTGACTCAGATTGAACCTGTGAGAATGAAATAGCAAGTGTAAATAGCAAGTGTAAATCATTGGTAAGTAATGGATTATTCAGAATCATATTTAGGCATTATATTATTAATTTGGACAAAAAAGCTTAGAATCCTATCTCATACTATGTTTCAAAGTAAGTTCAAGGTGGTATTAAATTATATATATATAATGTCAAACTAGATCAAAACTCATAGAAAATAAAAATGCATATCAAACTTCTAAGAGGACTTTTTAAGTATAAGAGTTATTAGTTGAAGTGAATAGGTAATATATAAGTATAGCTTTAAAATCAAAGAGAATATGAACATGAAAATGTTTGGAAAAATATAAAGCCTTAGAGATACAAATTATTTATGAGTTGTAGGTATTATATATAGTGGTTGGAGGTGAGGCTTCAAAAGCAAATATGACAGTTGCTTGCTCTGCAAATTCAAGGCATCATCCTCATTAACTAACACACTGTGCAAAATTTGTTCAATAAATGTCCATTGAATGTATTTTGAATGAGTCTGTCTGAGGCAGTTTCTTCATTGGTATGGTGACCATGTATTGTAGTTTCCCTAGAACACCTGTACTCCCAGCATAACTACACTTTTTGCCTTTATTCTCAGAAATGTACAATTTTGTCAGTTAATCACATGGTCATCTTATTTATAAAATTTGGAAAATGCCAGTCTTACAGAGATGATCTAAAGGTTACAAATAATCCGTGTAAAGACTTATGTACACAGTGCTTGGCACACATAATTAGTGCTCAATAATGATAGATACTATAAGGAACAGCTTAGATTGCTTGTATAAATATTGATGTATTTCTTCCAGTTTTTATTTTTTATTCTTTTTTTAATGTAAGTCCAAGTTAGTTAACATATAGTGTAATAATGATTTCAGGAATAGAATTTAGCAATTCATCACTTTCAACACCCACTGCTCCTCCCAACAGGTGCCCTCCTTAATGCCCATCATCTATTTAACCCATCCCGCATCTTCCAGTTTTTAAAATTGGACCTACTACCTGCCAATATTTAATATTATTTGATATCTGAATTATCTTTTATTATCAGGCCAAGAAGTCAACATCGACAAGGTAAGCAATAATGTTTATATATAAACCATTGATATTAATGGTTATTAATATGTTTTCTATGCACTTCAAACCCTTTATGAAAGCTACTGATTTCAATGGTGATAGTTATAAAAAATTTTACATTTAGAATTGTATTAAAGGTGTTTTTTCAAGTATAAAAATGTTTTCTATAACACAGGTCCAATGTCTAGAATAAATGTGTTTTGCTTTAGCTCTATGTTTGAATCAGCCCCCTATGAATAAATTTTTCTGAAATTGGACATATTTTGAGTTTAGCTTTCTGATACAAATTTTATTCATTTAAGTATCATTTGAAATGGAAAAGGCATTTACCTTTGAATTATGAAATTTTGCTAAATAAATTAATATACAGGGCACCTGGGTGACTCAGCGGGTTAAACATCCATCTTTGGCTCAGGTCATGATCTCACAGCTCATGTTTTGAGCCCTGCATCTGGTTCTGTGCTGACAGCTCAGAGCCTGGAGCCTGCGACAGATTCTGTGTCTCCGTCTCTCTTTGTGCCTCCCCTGTGCCTGTTCTCTCTGACTCAAAAATAAACATTAAAAAATAAATTAATCTATTATATAAAGGAAAACTATTTTAATGACTAATTTTTTTAAGGTTTATTTATTTTTGACAGTGAAAGAGACACAGAGCATGAGCAGGGAAGGGGCAGAGACAGAGGGAAACACAGAATCTGAAGCAGGCTCCAGGCTCTGAGATGTCAGCACAGGAGCCCAGCGCAGGGCAAGAACCCACAAACGGTGAGATCATGATGTGAGCTGAAGTGGGAGACTTAACCAACTGAGCCACTTAGGTGCCCCTATTTTAATGACTTTAGAGCATTAAAGTCTCTTTTTACATAAAAGTCATGTTAATTTATAACATCTACTTTTTATATAGGAAATGTCTGAGAACAAGAGAATGTTTTTAGGAACTAATTTAACGAGGTTAAAGTTAATAGTTGCAGCCTTATACCTTTGTATTTCTTTATTGTTTTTTTGTTTTGTTTTGTTTTGGCTTCATAGTATCACAAAAGCCTTGATTCACAGTTGTTACACTCACCTGAATACTCTCTTGAAAATGGACCTGGGGGCGCCTGGGTGGCTCAGTTGGTTAAGTAGCTGACTCGGCTCATGTCATGATCTCCTGGTTTGTGAATTCAAACCCCACGTCAGGCTCTGTAGTGACAGCTCAAAGCCTGAAGCCTGCTTCTGATTCTGTGTCTCCCTTTCTCTCTGCTCCTCCCATGCTCATACTGTCTCCCTCTGTCTCTCAATAATAAATAAATGTTAAAAAAAAAAAAGAAAGAAAGTGGAACTAGGCAGGCCAATCTGAATTTAAGCCAACAGCTCCATACTGAACTCTACTTTCCCAAACTGTACTATCATAAGGATTTGAAATGTATGCAGAGATGACCAAACAAAAAAAGTTTACTCCAAGGTCTGTGTCTGTTGCCTCCATCTGTCTATCTCTCTCTCTCTCTCTTAATCTGTCTCCTTTCCCTCCCTTTGACACCGAAACTAATGCATTGATGATCTTCCAGTTTGTGCATGTCACATAGGACATCGAGTTTATATTTTTAATTGCTTTTTTTAAAGTTTTTTTGTTTTATTTATTTATTTTGAGAGAGAGAGAGAGAGACAGCATAAATGGAGTAGGGGGTAGGTAGAAAGAGAGGGAGAGAGAAAATCTCAAGCCAGCTCCATGCTGTCAGCACAGTGCCTGACATGGGGCTCGAACTCATGAAACCATGAGGAGATCATGGCCTGAGCCGAAACTGAGAGCCAGACACTTAACCAAGTGAGCCACCCAAGCACCCCTAAAGTTTTTTAATTTAAATTTCACTTAGTTAAGACATAGCATAATATTAATTCCAGGTGTACAATATAGTGATTCAACAATTCCATACAACACCTGGTGCTCATTACAAGTGCACTCCTAAATCCCCATAACCTATTTCATCCAGCCCCCAACCCACATCCCCTTTGGTAACCATCAGTGTGTTCTCTTTAGTTAAGAATCTGTCTCTTGGTTTCTTTCTCTCTCTCTCTCTTTCCCTTTGCTCATTTGTTTTGTTTCTTAAATTCCACATATGAGTGAAATCATATGGTATTTGTCTTTCTTTTACTGACTTATTTCACTTAGCATAACTGTAGCTCCATCCATGTCATTACAATCAACTTATTAATTTAAAAATTAAGCATATACTTTATGAGGAATCATAGGTATTAATATAGAAAGATTTTAGTGGAGGATGATCCGTTTTGAATTGTAAAAGGCATTATATATTGGGGCACCTGGGTTGCTCAGTCAATTAATCATCCGACTTCAGCTCAGGTCATGATCTCACAGTTCATGAGTTTGAGGCCCACATTGGGCTCTGTGCTGACAGCTAAATGCCTAGAGCCTGCTTCGGATTCTGTATCTCCCCCTCTCTCTCTCTGTTCCTCTGCCACTTATGCTCTCTCTCACTAAAAAATAAATAAACATTAAAAAATTTTAAAGGCATTATATATTAACAAATATGTAAGAACATAAACATATTTTCACTAAATTATGGCCACGTATCACCATCAGGGCAAAATATTTTACATCAACCAAACTTTCAGCTACACTAATATTCATAACATAATTATGAACATAATTATAATAACATAACATAATTCATAACATTATTCATTGTTCTGTCTACAGAAGTAATAAACGCTCAGTATTGTATTTATCCATAATATATTTGGTCAGAAGAATCTTTATTACAGTATTTGGAGCAACGTTGGCACAAAATAGGCCCTTAGAAAGCTATCAGTAAATACCTGTCAGGACACCTGAGTTCATCTTGGTACTACAGTTTGGTAAAGGGGAGGCATTACTCTATGATCAGAAGACCACTCCACATCAAAAAAGTTGATGATTGTAAAAATATTTACATGAGTGCATCATAATAGCAACCCTATAGTTTTCTTTTCTTTCTTTTTCTTTTTTGTTATGTCATGCTTTCTCTTATTTTTTTCCTTTTATTTAAATCCAACTTAGTTAACATATAGTGTAATAATGTTTTCAGGAGTAGAATTTAGTGATTCATCACTTACATATAACACACACAGCTCCTCCCAACAAGTCCCCTCCTTAATGCCCACCACACATTTAGCTCATCTCCCTACCCAATGCCCCTCCAACAATCCTCAGTTTGTTTTCTGTATTTAAGAGTCTCTTATGGTTTACCTTCCTCTCTGTTTTTACTTTATATGATTTTAACCTGGAAAATTTCAAATAGCACAGTCATAGAACAATTTAAAAATCCCTTTTGATTTTTCAGTAGGAAATATTTTGGCCTCTCCTGATACTAGGTACTTAACAATGAAATTCTAGTTCTTTAAAACTTACATATTTACTACTTAAAATAGTTTTTTATTAATATGCATCAGTAGTCTGTATTTATAATATTTATGAGTGTCTTATTTTATTTAATTATAACAATTGAAGCATAATTAAATTTCCTTTACCGTTAATCAGTATTAACTGATAGGGTAATCAACATTGAAATCAGATACTAAATTGCTAATATGGTAGCAATAAAGCTATTTAAATTTTCAGTGAAAACAAAGACACAGCTTTTGTTTTGGGATGTAAAACAAGGTGATATATACCATATGTAACTTTTTGAAAGGTATTTATAAGCAGTATTTTGTAATTTACTATTTTCACTAGAGATTGGAGGTAATCTGACATAAACTATATGTACCTCAGTCTGTTTCCTTTTTAAGCCCTCTTCACATCTCAAGTAAAGGAAAGGCAGAATTCATTCCACGCATTTAAGTTAAGCTTCTAATATACCCTTCCTAAATGAAGTCCCCTATGTATTATTCTACATGGATTTCACATATATTGATGCAAACTTTTGAGTCTTTGAAAAACAGACAATGAATAGGAAGAAAAATTTTTACTTCATCTGAAGAAATAATGGCATAGTAGGTGGAAGGAAAGTACACTAGGTACACTTAATAATGCCTTCAGAATTCACCAATGAATAACCACATCGTAGTTTTAGAAATAACAATCAATACTTAGGGATATTTTAAAAGAAATTTTATAGAACAAAAAAGTTGAACTTTGCTAGTCTTAACATACCATTTTATTAAAACTCATTTGAACATATGATTCTAATTATGTATTTGTTACTAATATTGAAGCAAATATATAAGTTTTTAAGACTGAAGTAGGAGATACATGCAGTAAGGTTGTTAAATTATGAAAGAGATTTGGAAAATTTATTGATTTCTTACCATCCTAAAATTTTTCAAGCCATGGCTGTAAACTCTCTGCTTGATTGTTGGGTGAAATGCAGAGGCTACTCAAACACTCTGTAATGTAACCCCCATGCCAGTATCTCATGTTTCTCCCCATACCTATATATATGAGAAAAAGAGTCCAGAGTTTAATATAGAAATTTGATAAATTTATGCAGTATGGCTTTTTAAAATTCAGTAGTTTTTCATTGTTAGAAACACTTATCCTGTAATTTCTTTAAAGGCTGATTCTTTTTAAGACATTAAACTGTTATTCCTACTATCTTTAATGAATTGACAAGCGATTTTGTCTGTAGGTCACCCTTTTGTCTTATTATTCACTGAATTAATTGAATTTTCTGCTTTAGTAAGTACTTTAAAATCTCAGTTTTCTAAGAGAGGCTCTATTTGTTTCTTTCCTCTCATATTGTTTCTTTCCTCTCATAGTTTTTCTCTTATATCTACCTCAACTGCTTGTTTTAATAACACAAACTGGTGGGCCCACCATTCCTTATGAACATAAGAATGTAAAATAAATATGTAATTATTAGACTATTATAATTAAAATTATTAAAATTAAACAATTTAACATAATCTTGTATGAGAACAGCATTTAAAAATCCTTTAAGGTATACATTGTACTTTTGTAGTCAGTATACCACAGCATGTACTACTGTGCAATTCCAAATAATAAACTCCTTTCTTGATAATTAAATATGAGAAAGATTAAGATAGCTTAGATAAATCATTATATGCAGTAATTACATTTATGAAGACTGAGAGCCTTATGAAATCTATATAAACAACTTCCAAATTTCATTATCATATGATTTGGATTATTGACTGTATACTTTGACTCAGAAAGTCCCATGGTGTGTTTCTACAGTAACATGATTTTACCACATTATAGACAGAGTTAAGCTTTTTTAGATTCCACAGTAAAATTGATGTTTTTCTTTATTCTTTTGATCTAAAAATTTACTTCCTGTGTTTCTTTTCAAAACTTAAGCAGCTAACAAATAGAATTTTCACTGAGCATAACTTGTTTCCAGAAGGACCTTAAAGGTGTTGTAACTAAATGACCTGGCCGAGGACACTTAATGGCAAAGCTGTAGAGTATTTTTTTTTGGATTTGTACCTGATCCAACAAGGAAATGGAACTACTGGGGAAAGATCTGAATGCTTAATATAATATTAAATAATTAAAATGTATATATCTTCTATGTTTTCCCTCAGGTGTATATCTCAAAATACAGACATAGTCTCAAGAACTCTTTTAAGTATTTGCAAATGTTAGTGAACCTCTTTTTCTAAAGCTAATTTGACAAATGTCTTTATTTTAGGAAAAGAAAAGAAAGAGACCAGAATGCTTTGGAGTCCTTTGATATCCTACCTTAACATTTCCTCTCCAAGTTTCACATATTAAAGTAAATATAATAGCCAAATTAAAATATTTCAGTGTTCTTTCTTATCACTAATATGTTAATATTTTCATTGACATTGATTTTGTAATTGTCCCATAACATCACTGTTATGATTTATAAAATCTAAAAATTAATTAGCCAGGTTTATTAAATTCCTAGAATAAAGTTAGTTCTTTTACTTGGGATATTTTAAGTTGATTATGGCATATGATGTTTTAAAAACAAGCAAACAAAAAATTTGAAAACTATTTGGTTAATGTTATGTGGTATTCACAAACTTTGGTTACTCTGACTTGCTTTAGGGAGTGATTATTGAGAATTTATTATAAAAATACTAAATTTCCTTATGTGGCCTTGGATTAAATATATACGCCTACAGATTAGCTGAATACTGTCAAAATAAATTATAAAATCAAGCTTCATTATCATTTGTAGCTTAAACCTAACAAACCGATACAGTGTTATTTCATAATTTTGATGCTCATTGCAGTAAATTTGATATAGAACAGTTGCTAAAGAAACCCTGTTCAGATGTGTGACCATTTTTATGGAAAACATCTGGGGCAATTATAATTAGTTCAGGATGTGTATTGTTTAAAAATAATCTTGAATTCATGAAGAAAGAACCGTATCTTTTCCTCAATGACTAGAATAATCCAAGTTAATATAAAAAATTCTTTAAGTTATTGGTAGCTGTACTTAGAGTATAATTTTAGAGTATTCCAAACGGAAATGAGGAGTAACTTTTATGTAAAATGCCAAATTGGCACTTTACACCTGTTGGTGTGTTTCGTTTAGAACAGCTGTGTCTTTTATTATCAGTAAACAGATGCAGAAAGTAATGGAATGTTTTAAAGCAATATGTTAATCCTGTCTTCCACTACTGAACTGTCTCACAATATAGTGATTAAATATTGACTGTGCAGCTGTTACTTACAATTATAGAATTTCTTAGTTAATTTCTCCTTCCCAGGCCCAAATGAGATCTAATTTCTAATCTTACAGTATTCATAATGTAGTTTGCTTATCAAAATTTGATTTCTAAAGATCAGTTATTTGACTGTTAAGGAAACAGACTCATATGTTTATAAAATTCTTACCCTTATTCTGAATTGACTAATAGTTTAGGTAGCATAAATGATTTTTAAAAGTGTTTTTAAATTGTTGATGAATATGAGCATAATTATTAAATGTAGCAATTTTTTTAAATTTTATGCTTGAAAACTGCCATCAATAAGCTAAAAGGAAATTCTTGTTCTTTTATCAAATATAAAAGAACAGAGTACATAATACTTTCTTAGAATAATGACCATATTCAGGCAGTATCACCCTGCAGATTATTTCAGTTCCAGTGGCCCTTTTGCAGTTTGTTTTAATCCTTACATCTCACATTGTCAGAAAAGATACTTTAGATGTCACAATAGTAATTATCACTTTTGTACTTCAGCAGTTGTATTAGGTAAGATTGTTTTATTATTATTAACTAACATTAATTTCACTCTTAATATCTAAAAGTATTTATGCAAAGAACTTTATATATAGTATGTATTCTTGCTCCTTTTTGTAGATGAGGAAGTTCTACCATAGAGATATGATGTAAATTGACCAAGTCTTAAAACTGGGAAATGGAGGAGACTGGATTTAAACCCAGGCATTTTCACCCTCAGGCCTCTTTTGTTCTTAACAACTTTGCATTTTGCCTGCATTTAGTATCTAATACAAGCATTATATAGAAGGGAAATTATGTGCAAAGTAAACTTGATTCCTTTCTTTGAAGCCACTCTGTATGCACTCCAAAGTATAATTATCTCATTTAGTCCTTTTGCCTAAATAGAAAACACAACTAAAACATGCATGGAAAGATGAAGAGTTCCAGTTCTTGGTTTCTTACCATACAATGACTGTGTCAGTGCTATTTGACATCATCAGGAATGTCACAGGTATTGTGACATAGTCTACACTAGAAAAGATTTACAAATACCTCCTTATGATTTCACTCTAACTGGGTTACTTTGTGGAGACTACTCCAACAATCTGTTCCCCTTCTCAAAAAGGAAATTTTATTTGGTTCAAGAGATTTTAAAGAGCAACATGATATAATTTATGCCTATGTTATATTATTAATGCCTTAACCTAGAAGTATCAGCTATTATTAAAATTTATTAAATGACTGTTCACTGTGAGATATTATTACTAACCACCTCTATACTTGTAGTTTATTTTCGTCATTTGTTGTAGGAAGTATCCCATATTATAGTACGAAGAAACTGAGACCGGTGGTATTAATTGGTCAAGATCATGGCTAGCAAATGGTGTTTGTATGAAGTAGATTAAAAAAAAAAAAAAAAAACCTCTAAAAATCTAAAAGTGTCCCGCTAATTATTTTTATAAAGAGTTTTTAGATTTCCATTTGTAACAGATGGTTACTTCAATGTAGTTTCCCTTGACACTGATGAGAATGCTTATAAGATTAACTAGGATCAGCAATGTCATGAGGTATTGCTGGAAGAAACTTACTTAATATAATAGAGGCCCATTATAAGGTGGTTTTTAAGGGGCAAAATGTTCTTGCATAGAAGTCTGAAATATGAGTAGACCTTTTTGCCTTCAAGACTACGAAGTATCATTTTTTATGTTGTCAGTTTTAAATGAATATTTTACATATTTTGCTAAATTTAATCAGTTACGCTATATTCAACATTGCTATTCTATTGAAATTATTTTTTATTTGTGTCTCCATCAAAATTAATTATCCAACACAAAGAACATAAAAGATAAACAATAAAATTATCATTTTATCTAGTACAGAGATTTCTTAGGCAGAAGTATTTTGTGATTTGTTTTTTTTTCCCATTTCTTGAAGTGAACATTCATTTAGAGATAATTGTAGATTTACATGTAATTTTAAGTAATAATACTACCACAAAGTGTAACTTTTACTCAGATCCCCTCAATGGTATCATGTTGCAAAACTACATAATACAATATCCTATCTAGAACATTGATGCTAAAACAGTCAAGATACAGAACATTTCCATCACTATGAGGATCCCTCATGTTAACTTTATACAGCCACATCTACTTCCTTTCACACTGTCTTCCCATAACCCTGCAACAACTAATCTGTTCTTTATTGCTGCAGTTTTGTCATTTAAAGAAAATTATATAAATGGAATCATATAGTGTGTAACCTTTTGAGAATGGTTTTTATTTCCCCACACAGCATAACTCAGCATAGAAATTCATCCAGAGATTGTTGCATGTATCAGTGGTTTGTTATTTTTTATTGCTGACTAGTATTCCATATATGGATGTGCCACTGTGATTGTTTAAACATTCACCCATTGAAAGACATCTGGGTTGTTTCTAAAACAATGTAAAATCTGGTTTCTTCAATGGTACTAAAGGTTTATAGTTTTATATTTTACACTTATACCCATGATTGATTTTGAATTAATTTTTGTATAAGGTGTGAAACTTAGGTAAATTCCTTTCTGGTGGGAGTCAGGGAGAGTTAATGGACACCAAATTGGTCCAGTACCAATTGTTGAAACAGCTATCTTTGCTTCATTTAAATGTTTTTATCTTTTAGTAAAAAATCAGGCACATTTGTATGGGTGTGTTTCTTGGTTCTTATTTGTATTCCATTGATCTATGTGTGTATCCCTCACATAATATCATAAAGTCTTGATTACCGTATTTATATAATTCCTTGAAAATGGGCATTCTATTCCTCTCACTTTATTTTTTCAAAATTGTTTTAGCTTTTCTAACTTCTTTACTCTTCATAGAAATTGTAGAATAATCTCACCTATATCTATAAAAATTCCTGCTGGGATTTTTGATAGGAACTGAATTAAGTTTGAATATCAGTGTGGAGACTATTGAAATCTGTGCTATATTGAGTCTTCTAATAAATGAATCAGGATGTTTCTCCATTTATTTATGATTTTTATCTCTTAGCACCATTTTGTATTTTCAGCATCCAAATACTATATGTCTTGTTAGATATATACCTAAGTAATTCATTTTTCTTGAATGGTTACAAAAGGTATTGTATTTTTACATTTTGTGCCTATGTGGTTATTGCTAGTATACAGTAGTACAGGTGGTTTTTGTGTGTTTATCTTGTATCCTGCAACCTTGCTGAAATTATTTTAGGAGTTTTTTGTGGGTTCCTTGGAATTTTCTATATAGACAATCATATTATCTGCAAATAGAGACACTTTTCTTTCTTTTTAGGTTCTGTGCATTTTGTTTTTTCTACCATTACACCAGCTGTAACTTCCACTATGTTAAATAGAAGTAGTTTAGAGAGCGCATCTCTACTTGTTCCCCATCTTAGGGATTTCTCCCTGAGTTTTTCCCTTCTGTTTTATCATTAACTGTAATGTGGGCTGTAGGTTTTTGAGGATATTCTGTCAAGTTGAAGCTCCTACTATTCTCATTTTTCTGAGTGTTTTTAAATTATGAAATAAGTATTAAATTTTGTCAGATTTTTTTATGCATTGACCATTATGATCATGTGATTTTTCTTTATCTTGTTAATAATGAAAGAATACATTGATTTTCAAATATTGAATAAACCCTGGAATAAACCCCATGATCCTAGAGAAAAAACCTTTTATATATTGCTGAATTCTATGTACTAATATTTTAAGGATGTTTGCATCTATACTCATGAGAGGTATTAGTTTGTAGTTTTCTTTTAATATACTGTTCTTATTTTGGTGTCAGAGTATTACTACCTTCATTAAATGAATTGTAAAGTGTTCCACCCTCTTCTCCTTTCTGGAAAAGATTGTGTAGAGTTTGTGTCAATTCTTCTTTAAAAATTTGTTAGACTCCTGGGCCTGGAGATTTATTACATTTGGAGTTTTTTAGATGATGGGTTATTCAGTATACAGTAATTATGATTTTGTTGGATATTATCTGTTTCATATTGGCTGAGTTATGATAGTTTGTGTTTTTTGAGATATTGTACCATTTTACAACTTTATATAAATTATCAGATTTGTGTGGGCAGG